AGGGGGGTTTCCAAAAAAATGTGTCGCAACTACTTTCACTTTCGAAAGCCCTGTACATTCAATAAAATTAAAATGTGAAATATTCAGAATAGATAAAAGGAAATATCTTTTCACACTACATGTAATTTGAGTGTTAATGCATTGTCATAGATCGCCTCTAAGGCCGAGAATTTAGCAAGATTAAAAAGGAATAGGATATTTACATGGATTAATAAAAGTATCTAGAGTTCGGACAAAAATTCAGAAGGGATATTGATCATCGTGCTTCAAGGTTTAAGACAATTTCGATTAGGGGATGTCTAAACTACAGAGTTATTTCGAAACAACAAGGTGAGCGTCCACACAGCAAGCCCATTATTTTGAAATTATTTCCTATTCCGAAATAGTAAACCCTCATTCAATGAGGCATAGCACCTATTTCGAAATAGATATTTTGAAATAGGATGAGTGGATGGCACACCTGTGCTTATTTAGAAATATTTGGCCTCCAGGGCTTCTCACAGCTGCCCTGGTGGCTCTGTCCACACCCCTCAGAACTCTGTAGTTTCCCTTCCCCTGCAGCCTTTAAAGGTGCAAGCAGAAGGAAAAGTGCTTGTGGCACTGTGCCACACACCAGCAACCAGCCCAGCCCTCCTTGCTGCCAACGCAAAACCCAGCACTTCCCTCTCCCCCTCCCACCACCACAGCTGCAAGCTCTGAAGCCCCAGGGATACAGCAGACAAGGATACAATTTCTCACTCTGTGTGCCACAAGGGCTGCCTGCAATTTCTCACTCTGTGTGCCAGGAGGTGCAGCAGGAGGTCTAAGAGCTGGTGACAGCTTTGCAGCAGGTCCAGCTCCATACTGGAAGTGCTGTGGCATCCACAATGGCAACCAGAGACAACACTGTGGTGTCTGCTGTCCCCCAAGGGGATAGGCAATGGAGAAGGGTCAGACACATTGGTAGAGGGGAGCTCTTTTAAGCACGAGCCTCAGATAGGCACAGGCAGCAGCTCCAGGAAGTGACTGCTGTCCTGATGCCCTGCCCAGAGTGCTTTATGCACTTAAATGCATTCCAGGAAGTGACTTTATGCACTTAAATGCAGTTCAGGCTCCAATGCACTTTATGCACCTTAAATGCAGTTCAGGCTCCAATCTGTGTGGACGCGTTATTTCGATACAGATCTGCACTATTTTGATGGCGTTTTGTAGTGTGGATGCATTATTTCGAAATAGCTATTCCAGGAGTTATAATTCTGAAGTAACTTATTTTGAAATAATGCTGTAGTGTAGACGTGCCCTTCGAGATCAACATGAGACCTAATTTGGGGTGAGGAAGGGGAAATTATCCCACAATTGCCTACTGTAGCTTCTTGTCCCTTCCCTGAAGCATTTCATCTTAGCCACTATCAGAAACAGGATAAGGGCTTAGGTGGACCTCCAATTTGATCAGCATGGCAATTCTTATTCACATTCTGGGTGGGTGGTGGTTCCAAGTCATAAGGAACCAGATCAAGTTTAATAAATTAAATGACATCTGGACTCTAAAAATCAGACTATATTATTTTCCCACCACACTCACTTGAGTCCAAGCATGATTTTAGCAGCCAATATTCTTGCAAACCATATCATTAGATATTAACATTTTATACCATTTGAGGACTGAAATTATAAAGTTTCTGATCATGTGCAGTGCAACATTGTCTCTAGCTCTAATAGCTCCAGTGATAATAGTCACTAAAATTAGCTGAGAACAGAGGGAAGTAGGAACATGCAAAAGCAAATGGTTATAAAAATGGTGTGATTGAAATTTTGATCTGTCTCAGAACACCAGCAACAGAAAATATTGCCATGTATCACTAGAAAGCGAGAATTCCCAAGCTTTCTGATGGAGTGGAATGCTAGTTTGTAACCCTGGTGATTCATAAGATATACATAAATGGTCACTGGTTGCTTAGAAAACCAAAATAAAGTGCAACTTACCAAACAGGCAAGAGCACTTTCTTCATCCCACACATATGGACTTTTCAAGCACTTTCACAAGAGCTCTTCAGTTAGATGTCCATTACTCCACATCATAGTTTGTCAGTAGGGCTACATCTAGACTGCAAGCCTCTTTCAAAAAAGGCTTTTTTGAAAGATACTTTCGAAAAAGCCTCTTTCGAAAAAGAGCACCTAGACAACGAAAAAGCCCCTTTTTCGAAAGAGAGCACCCAGGCAGTCTGGGTGCTCTCTTTCAAAAAAGCACAATTTGCATTACATAGCGCCTTTTTTCAAAAGAGTACTTTCAAAAAAAGGTGTTATTCCTCGTAAAACAAGGTTTCCCGCAGTCGAAAAAACTGCCGCATCCTTTCGATTTACTTTCAAAAGAATGTGGCAGCAGTCTAGATGCAGGGAAAGTTTTTTCGAAAAAAGGCCACTTTTTTCGAAAAAACCCTGTAGTCTAGTCACACCATAGGTGCTTCAAGACACTCTGATTTAAAAACTTAGCAAAAATATATTATGCAAAAAATACCAGAAGGAGCCTTCTGTATATTTAATTAATAGTTTAAATATCCCAAAATGTTTATAATATAAATCTGACACCTACTTGAATTAAAAAAAAAAGGGTTATAGGAATGCAAACAACATATAAGAACCTAAAGGGGAAAAATCTTACATTATCTCTTAAAAATACCCCAGCATATTACATGTATATGGATAATAATTAGCTGATTTGCTTGTTTTATTATTTTGTTTTCTGAATTCCATATGAAACTATTGAGAATTAAGAGAGAAATAACTATTAATAAATCCTCCCATTAAATGTTTACTGATAACCAGCCAGCTTTTCAAACTAACTCAAACTTTCTTAAGTTTCAGATGTGAGTGGATTCCTGTGGTTCAATTATCAACCCCTGAAAAAATGAAAAAAAAAACACAACTAACAGAGGCTGCTGTCACATGGCATTAAGAGACTTATTGTGACTGCCGAACCAGTGCCTGAGATTACTCTACGGTTAGGAATTCTGTGTACTTTGTTTTAAAACGCTGCTTGGTAAGTCTTTTTCTTTATTATGTTAAAAAAATTAAAAATAGCAAGAAGTCTCCCAGCTGGGAATGAAGCCTAGAGACCCCTTGAGCAACTTGGGTAATTACACTGTTGGATAAATTGCAGTTAAGCCATTTGGTTTAACTGTATTGCAACCAGAGGCTAGACCAACAAAAGAATGGAAAGGGGACAAAATGTGTGCTGACAACACTACTAAAAACCAGGGAGGAACAGCCTTTCAATGTAAGGCATCTGCTACTGTCTTCAGGATATTATACTCCCGAAGTACTTTAAGTCACAGACAGGAATTGGCTAGCTACAGTTTATGTAGTAAAAAAGCCCAATCAAACAAAAAAAAGTACTCATCTCCCATGGAAGCTGTGATTTCATATTTCAGACACCAGCAAAAGAATTTTATGCATTTGCTTCCCAGATATAGTCAAGAAATAATGAACACAGTATAATGAAATTACAAAAGAAAGTCAACCTTTACATTTAGACAAAGACCCTATATTTTCTTTAAATAAAAAGGTGATTTTGTCTATTATATTCTTTAATTTTCAACAATTGAGTTATACTACTACTATACCTATTTTCCAAAAGAGGTCATATGTATCCTCTGATACCATAAAAATTAAGATCTTGTCTGTTCTTTGCCAAAATTAAGGGTCCTTCCTATTCCTTAAAGATAAGGCTTTCCCCATTGTCCTGTGCCAAAGCTTCTTCTCCTCTGTATGTACTGTTTCTTCTATGCATCAGTTAGTGGCTGCAATTCTGCTGTATTATTTATATGTACCAACTACTACACCAAATTTTAAGTCAGTAACTTTTATGAGAGAGAGAGAGACTGGTGATGCATTCCCTTTAAGGAAGTGAAAGGACTGATGTTAAATGCGATCTTCTAGGATTAGATCCATACACACACACACACACACACACACAACTTGGGTGGCCATGTCTGACATTTCAGCATCATTGACATCCTCAAAACTCCTGTTCAGCTGCTGCCTAATCCTGTAGGCTCCTAAAATTTTTATACCGCTCAGAAGAGTGCCCTAACCATTGGGATATTCTGATGGGGCGGGGGAGTTCCCTCACTCTCTCCTTTTGAAGCTGTTCCTTGTACTTCAGGGCCAGAAATTCCGAGAGGTAGAGTGCTTGGATGCTTTGGCCATGGGGCTGTGGGTGGAGACAGTGTCTGGGCTCTCTACTTTTTCACCCAAATGAAGTAGGGAGGCACCAAATCAGGGCATTCACCCTCAGCAGCCCTCCGGGAAAGATTTTGTCAATTTTACAGGCAGAAAGCGAAATTGATAAGAGCCTTTCCTAGCAGCCAGAGAACTGTCATTTTGATTTTCCCAATGGAAATTTGAAATTTTCCACAAAACTAAAATTTTCCCATGGAAAATTACTGTTTTATCATCAGGGCAGTGGTGTGGGTTTTTTTTTTTTTTTTTTTAAGAAAATCATTCTGACCAAATAAATAAATAAATCAGCTAGCGCTCAATGTTACTCTTCTATACAGCACATGAACTAATGGAGTGTTCTACAGTGGCTGCCAGGATCATCACGGATGTTTGTCTGCCCTCCCTGAAGTCCTGCTGCTTTGGAGGCCCCTAATGTAATATATAAGACACTGTTTCTGCACCATCCTTTTCTCTAGAGGCATGGAAGCATTGCACTGGTAAATGAATAGCTGTGAATACCTTTTGGAATTTGGGGTGTAGGTAAAATACTGATTTCACTTTTCAGTTTCCTTCCTGGGGAAGTAGCCTACAGGAGAAGCACCACTGAGAAAAATTTCAGAAAGACCAAAAAAATTAAGACTTGAGCATGTGATGAAAAATGTAAATCAGTATGGCTAAGTACAGTGTGATGGATATTGCAGTAGCAGTTTAAGCTACTTGTACACACTCATGGCTTCTGAATTACTATAGTTAACCTCTCAGATCTGACCATCATCAGCTGGGTGAGGAGGTCTGCCCTGCATGAAGGAGTAATTGAAAAAGCAGATAAAATATAATCTTAGGCTTAATTCAGAAGGGGACAGGGAATCATGGACAGAGAAAGTATTGGAAGACAAGAGAAAATGTAGTATTAATCTTCAAAAATAGGAAAAAAGAATGATCATAGCAATTACCATCCCATAAGTAACTTCTGTTCCTACTACGAGACAAGGAAGCCCTACATGTCTAGAGTAGCATGGATTGCTTAAAAAATATTCCTTGGCACTTGTGATTTATGTTTTTGGGATGGAGGAAGAGAACAGAATTACAAAATTAGTAGATGGAGTTCAGTGGATGCAATATTTGATTTTCAGCAGCATCTGATACAATCTAATGAAAGCTGTACTCATGCCATGCCAATGCCCTTTGGTTAAAATGACTGTAAACAAGTAGGATGATAAATGGCCATGTATCACATCTACGGTAGAACACAAAGAATGAATGTTAAATCTGGCCTCACTGAATATTTCATTAAACAAGGTGAAATAGAATCAGAGTCCTGTGTTTGTTTACCTCAGATGTTGTCACTTCTTCCATGTGGACTACCAGCACTTCCAAACCTCAGAGGCATTAAAGCCAGTAGCCACCTCCACTCTCCTGGAATAAACCATAGATAAACTACAGTTCTCAGCTCTGGAATTAATTTTTTGCTTTGATTTGCCTCGCTGACATCTAATACTTTAGGGCACTGCAAGAGACATCATCAGTATGTCAGGCTTTTCCTGAAGAGAAAAAGATCTGTGTGTGCAACAGGGGTCAGCATGAGGGTGCGTGGAGAAAGATGGAGATTGTGTAGAAGTCCATAATTGGAGCTGGATTATATGAAGGATCTATGCCACAGAATGTTTTCCAGGAGTTTTGCTTTTGAAGGTATGTCTACTATATACTGCTAAATGTTGTGCCTTTACCATGATATAATTCTCTTAGGGTATGTCTACACTAGTTCGAACTAGGGTGGCTAATGTAGGCATTTGAACTTGCAAACGAAGCCCGGGATTTAAATATCCCAGGCTTTATTTGTATGTTCCTGGGCGTCGCCATTTTTAAATGCCCCGTAGTTCAAACTACCTGCCTGCGATTACAAACGGCACGGACTAGGTAGTTCGAATTAAAGCTCCTAATTAGAACTACCGTTACTCCTCCTGCAATGAGGACTAATGGTAGTTCAAATTAGGAGCTTTAATTCGAACTACCTAGTCTGTGCTGCATGTAGCCGCGGGCAGGTAGTTCGAACTACGGGACATTTAAAAATGGCAACGCCTGGGAACATGCAAATAAAGCCCAGGATATTTAAATCCCAGGCTTCATTTGAAAGTTCAAATGCCTATATTAGCCACCCTAGTTCGAACTAGGGTGGCAGTGTAAACATACCCTTAGATATTGTATTAGGGCAATAGAAATTTTATGTAATGAATGTAATTTAGTCCCTCTTCCAAATTCACAGATATTAATTTTGGAAGAGCAGCTAGTAGTGAGGTCAGGAAAATAAAACCATTCAAAATATGGGCAAAACATTGTTTTCAATCTAAAACATTATACATCTGAAATTTACAAGTGGACAAAGATACTTTGAAAGCAACAATGCTAAAACAGACCGAGGAATAATAGGAAATAGTGAATTAGACATTAATTGTAATTTATTGGGACACTAAAATAAAAATACACAAATTTCAGATTTCATATGTTAAGAGCATTAAAGCCCAAATCTAGCAAAGCCAATGTGACTGCTCATATCCTCATAGCTAGTACACATATTCTGAATGCTTGTTAGTTGCTGCATGCATTAATGTTACTTGTAGTATCTATGTTCCATGCTGTAATATAATGTATCAGTGTCTGAATTGTGAGCCACACATTAATTAGTGTGATGAGCTGGTCTTTACAGAAATTATTGTTCCCCCTTCCTGCAAAAGAGAAGACTCATCAATACCAGAAGGCCATGGGTAGACCTTAAAACTGAAATGTGTCCACATCTGGATTGAGGAAATGTCAACAAAAGGACTATTGTTCTGCTCTCCTCTCCATAAAGATGAATTATGCAAGATCAAACACATAATAGAAGTCTATATTATCTTTTAAAACCTGACATGAGCTCATTCATGTATCTATATTTGCTTGCTTTAACCCTGTAAATAACTCTCTATTTCCCTTTCCTATTTATTAAATCTCCATATAGTTAACTATAGGACTGTCTATAAGCACTGTCTTTGGGGTGAGACCTAAAGTTCAATTGACTTAAAGTGACTGTTTTTTCAGGACCAGGAATAACCTGAATATTACTGAAAGTCTTGGTATAAAGAGTCATTTATGAGAGAGACATGCTCACTTGGGTGGCAAGACAGACCAGAGAACTCCAGCTATGTCTACACTCGCAGCTTCTTGTGCCAGAAATATGCAAATGAGGCTAAGCGTGGAGTATTGCCAAGCATCATTTGCATACCTAATGAGCCACCATTTTTGCAGAAGAGGCTCTTGCGCCGGAAGGAGCTGCCTACACTGCCCCTTCTTCCACAAAAAAAACCCCTCTTGTGCAATGCCTTTATTCCTTAAAATAATCGGCATAACAGCATTGTGCAAGAGGGTTTTTCTTGCACAAGAAGGGGAAGTGTAGACAGCTCCTTATGGCGCAAGAGCCTCTTCTGCAAAAATGGCGGCTCATTAGGTATGCAAATGAGGCTTGGCATTATTCCATGCTTAGCCTCATTTGCAAGGCTTGACAAACTATAGAATCTACTCGCCCATAGATTTCAGCCGCACGCCCTGTTTACCGGTGGCGCGTGCATGCGCCATGCGACTCTTGCGCATGTGCAGTGCGGGGCTGGCAAGCGGCTTTTGCCACTGTTTGTCAAGCCCTGCTCATTTGCATATTTCTAGCTCAAGAAGCCACGAGTGTAGACATAGCCTAGGGGATTATCTGACTCCGTGTTAAGACTGCTAAAGTTCCTGAGGAGTTTACACTTCATTCAGTTGGTTAATGAAATCCAAGATTAGAATTAACAACCAATTAGGAGTTTGTGCCCTGGTTTTTATTGGCGTTCCCTGAGGTTGGTACCCACACTTGTGTGTCAGTAATGGGAGTATCACACACATACTGGGTAGAATACAGTAGTAGAACAGAGGATGTGTCTACACTGCACAGTCCTTTGGTGGCATGTTGAGTACATGTAGGTGAAGGGAGGCTGGCATGGTCCTGACTATTCTCCTTGAACTTTGACACCTAGATCCCCAGTACACTAGGGCTGGGTTGGAGCTGGGAGCCATAGTGTAGATGTGCTAGGCTCCTATAGGGAAGGGGTGGGGATGGGACATCAGGAACCAGGATGGAGATAGTCTCCCCAACAGCCAGATTACTGGGCATTCATGCCCTGTACCCCCATCCCCTCCAGCTAAAATAGGTACAAATAGTATAGAATGTAAATCACTGCTTAGGAAAATAAAGACATGACAGAACTGTATATAGCTCTGTACACACACAAGAAGTGCTCCTCTAATCAACCCTGCTATTTTTAGCAGTGTAGTTTCCTGCCACCAGGGTCTTCCACCCCACCTGTCTACCCCTACACATCAGGGAATTGCTGGAGTCTTTCCCACCACTATGAAGGAGTCCTGCAGTGGGAAAAGGCAGTGGCAGTGGGGAGATAGAGGAGAAAAACTCCATCATCCAATCTAATTTTAGCGACTCAGCCAACAGGGTTCTGCTACTTCCCTTGGGAGACTATTTCATTCAATTAGGCAATTTCCCTTCATACTGAGCTTCTATTTTCCATTGCTCAATTTCATCCCATCGTTCATAATTATAACTCTCTGAAAACCCTAAATGTGTCTCTTCTTGATGTTCACGGGCTTTCAGTATTCATTCATGGTGATCTGAGATTTGATCTAATTCAGGCAAGCAATATATATTTGGTGATTTTAATTGTCTCTCATAAATCAGTCCTTCTAACCTTGTCATAATATTTTCAGCTTTTTGTTGAATACTCTCCAGTTTATTGACGTCACTAAGGTGCCCAGAACTGAATGCATCACCCTGTGTGTGGTGTCACTAGTGCCAAACATGTTATAAAATCTCTCTGAATGGAGCCAAAAATCATAACGGATTGTCTTTATGAAGAGGCTATCAGTTCCTCATGTAGCTCATAGAAACAATGGTACATTGTGAGAAATGTGACTGCGTTTGTTAATGCAAGAATTAAAGAAACCACTGGCATAACAGGAGTCAAAAGGTCAGTTTCTCTCATTTTCATGATGTAAAATTGGAGTCGCTCCATAATAATCAATGAAGTTACACAGAATTTACGCCACTGTAACTAAGAATAGAATTTTTACCAGAGTGTCAATGTTGTGGATTGGTCCTCATATTCTTTAGTGGAAATGGGATAGGTTTAGAAGTTAAAATTAAAAAAAAAAGTTAAAAATCACTTAGAAAAATTAGATGTCTTCAAGCCTCCAGGGCCTGATGAAATGCATTCTAAAATACTCAAGGAGCTGATAGAGGAAGTATCTGAGCCTTTAGCTATCATCTTTGAAAAATCATGGAAGTTGAGAGAGATTCCAGAAGACTGGAAAAGGGCAAATATAGTGCTGATCTATAAAAAGGGAAATAAGAACCACCCAGGAAACTACAGACGAGTCAGTTTAACTTCTGTACCAGGAAAGATAATGGAGCAGGTAATTAAGGAATTCATCTGCAAACATCTGGAAGAAAATAAAGTAATAGGTAACAGCCAGATGGATTTGTAAAGAACAAATCATGTCAAACCAATCTGATAGCTTACTTCCATAGGATAACAAGTCTTACGGATAAGGGAGAAGCAGTGGATGTGGTATACCTAAACTTTAGTAAGGCATTTGATACAGTCTTGCATGACCGTCTTATCAATAAATTAGGCAAATACAACTTAGATTGGACTACTGTAAGGTGGGTGCATAACTGACTGGATAACCATTCTCAGAGAGTAGTTACTAATGGTTCACAGTCATGCTGGAAAGGCATAACAAGTGGGGTTCTGCAGGGGTCTGTTTTGGGACCAATTCTGTTTATCAACTATTTAGATGATGGCATAGAGAGTACGATTATTAAGTTTGCAGATGATACCAAGTTTGGAGGGGTTGCAACTGCATTGGAGGATAGGGTCATAATTAAAAAACATCTGGATAAACTGGAGAAATGGTCTGAAGTAAATAGGATGAAGTTTAAGAAGGACAAATGCAAAGTACTCCACTTAGAAAGGAACAATCCATTTCACACATAGGGTGTGTCTAAACTACACCCCTCTGTTGGCAGAGGGATGTAAATTAGACACACCAAAAGTGCAAATGAAGCCAGGATTTAAATATCCCATGCTTCATTTGCATAATGGCGGCCACCTCTTTTTTTCTAAATCAGGCTTTTCAAAAAACAAACAAACCCGGCAGTTTAGATGGGGCATTTTCGACAGAAATGCCCAATTTCGAAAGATCCTGTACTCTTTCGATGTGTCTAATTTACATCCCTCTGCCAACAGATGGGTGTAGTTTAGACACACCCATACAGAATGGGAAGTGACTGTCTAGGAAGGAGTAGTGCAGAAAGACATTTAGGGGTCATAGTGGACCACAAGCTAAATGTGAGTCAACAGTGTAGCATTGTTGCAAAAAAAAAAAAAAAAGACACATGATTCTGGGATGCATTAACAGGTGTTGTGAGAAAGATATGATGTCATTCTTCCATTCTAAAAGATATGATAAGTCATTCTTCCATTCTACTCTGCACTGATTAGGCCTCAACTGGAGTATTGTGTCCAGCTCTTGGTACTACATTTCAAGAAAGATGTGGAAAAATTGGAGAAAGTCCAGAGAAGACCAACAAAAATGATTAAAGGTTTAGAAAA